TGAACGATTGAGACGGAGAAATGATGTCGACTGATACGACTAAAAATGAAGACTGATGCGACTAAAAACATCGAGCGTGGCGAGTCAGAAAACGGATTATATTTCTATGGAAATCATCCTGTTGATGATGTAAGAAAGCAAGATTCAAGCAAGAGCCAAAGTTGGATACTAATCAAAGTACCGACTACAGTGGAAGGTGAACGGATAAAGAGATTGAACTTGCAGCATATCAGGCTGACGTAGAGAGAATTCTGAGAATTTCCACTGAGCTGGAGAAGAAAGAGTCAAAGTCAAAAGTTGACAGACTGTTCTCACTTTTTATAATATATTGCAAGCAACGAGTCAATTGGTTGATAAAGTAGGATCTCTGATAGATCTATATACTTCTATATACTGAGAATTTCCACTGAGCTGGAGAAGAAAGAGTCAAAGTCAAAAGTTGACAGACTGTTCTCACTTTTTATAATATATTGCAAGCAACGAGTGAAGTGATTGATAAAGTAAGATCTCTGATAGATCTATATACTTCTATATACTGTAAATTCATATACTTAGACGGCAACAATACCTGGACAGCTAAATTGCAGTCAATTGAACAGGTAGATTGCAGGCGGCTGTGAATCACTTACTTCTAACATCTTTGCTTTGTGAAGATCCAAACAGCTGGGTTCCATCCCACGCTTGTTTGCTTTCTTCTGTACCACAACAGTGGACCCTGGAAATGATTTTTCCTCAATTCCTGCTGTGTTGCGCAGATTGTGAGAAAAATCGTTGAAGAGAAGCTTGGAAGATTGGCCATAGTTGCTGATTGTGGAGGAGTCCCACTATTTGGACCTTATTGCGAAACATGGTCGATGACTTTTGACGTTGCTTGGTCATGGATGAGTGTTTCATTGTACCAGCGCGCCGTTGTTGTGACTTGCGATTTCTCAAAAATGTTTTGCGATGATTAATTGTGGGCTTCCCACGCGCCAACATTCAACATGCTTGAGAATCGGGATTTTCAGTGGGATGATTTGATTGGATGGTCAATTTGACCACAAGCCAGTAGAGCTGTGGTCAATTTGACCATGAGCCAATCAACCGTGGTCAATTTGACCATGAGCCAGTCGATGTTGGATATATTAGGATCTTTGAAGTACATATTTGGAGAAACGAGAAAAAGAGAATACATGTGAACGATAGAGAAATGATGTTGACTGATACGACTAAAAATGAAGACTGATACGACTAAAAATATCGCGTGTAGCAAGTCAGAAAAGACAATTTATTTCTATGGAAATCATCCTGTTGATGATGTAAGAAAGCAAGATTCAAGCAAGAACCAAAGTTGGATACTAATCAAAGTACCAACTACAGTGGAAGATGAACGGATAAACAGATTGAACTTGCAGCTTGTCAGGCTGACATAGAGAGAATTCTGAGAATTTCCACTGAGCTGAAAAAGAAATAGTCAAAGTCAAAAGTTGACAGACTGTTCTCACTTTTTATAATATATTGCAAGCAACGAGTGAATTGGTTGATAAAGTAGGATCTTTGATTGATCTATATACTTCTATATACTGTAAATTCACATACTTAGAAGGCAACAATACCTGGACAGCTAAATCGCAGTCAATTGAACAGGTAGATTGCAGGCGGCAGTGGATCGCTTACTTCTAACATATATTATAAAAAGTCACTGAATTGAATTGGGAGTCGATATATTCCTACGACTTGAAAGAATAGGAACTTGCTCATGATGAGTGGACGATTTTCAAAATACTGGATGTGGTTCCAATGGAAGAAATGCTGGACGAGGAAGATCGCAGCAAGGCCGAGGTAATGGTCAATACAATGGAAATAAGAGTGGCAATGGTAGCCAGAAAGAGAAGAAGTTTCATCCTCTGACTAGAGGAAACATTCCCAAATTTAGCTTTGATGAAGTGAAGAAGACATTGGTGATTAAAATATCAACAATGAAGATGGATCATATTGATGACATCATTCAGAGTGTACGAACATTGAGTCTGTTCGATATTGAAAGTGTGAAACCAACATTGGTATTGGTGACTAATGACAGCAATCCTGATAAGGAGATCAAGAATGAAGAAAGAAGAACTAACTATTTGGCTGATCAAAAGGATTGGAAGGCCAGGAAGAACGGGTTTGATAACAATAAACGCAATGTCTATGGAATGATTATGAAGATGTGTACCGATCATATGGTGGACAAACTTGAGCGAGAAGCTGACTTTGAAAACAAACTGTTCAATGATCTTGTGGAGTTATTGATGCGGATCAAGAAATTTATGACAACTACTGTTGATACAGAATGGGAAGACAATGAGCAATCTGATTAATTGCCATCAAAAGGAGAAGGAAAACATTGCAAGTTTTTGTAAACAATTTGAAGAAAGGGCAAAGGCATTGCAAGCTTTGCTTGGTGATGATTTTTTGGACAAATTTACTGAGAAGAGCCAGGAATATGATTTATTGGGAAGCGATGCTGAACGATCCCAACACAAGAAGGAATCATGGGAAAGATTCATGGCCAACGGATTTCTGTATAATTCTGATAGAGCCAAGTATGACGGAGCTCAGTTTTTGCAACAACAAAGTCGAGCGTGTTTTGTATAAGGATCAAAAGAACGTGTTGCACCTCAAATTGGGGACAAATTGAAGCCGCGGGAACAGTGGAAAAACCTGGACAAATATAGGGATTATTCGGACGCGAATGGTCGTGGTAATTGACAAAATATGCAACGTGATGAAAATGCAACGCATGATGATAATGAATCAGGAGATTCAAACAATCAATGGAACTATGGACGTTCCAACAATGGATCCCATGGAGGACAATTTATTCAATTCAACGAGGACATACTGACAATCATCCAAGACAACAAGGGATGATGTTATTTCAACACCACAATACTGGTATCCACTTGGATAGTGGATCTACTTTTCATTTGCGAACCAATGAAGATGACTTTAAAGAAGGAAGTCTACAAGGAATTCATGGAGGATTCCATTATGCCTCTAATGTCAAGGGAAGAGAACTTTATCAAGAAGGAATTGATAAGGTATTTGATTCTGTTTGTAAGCTTGATACACGAGCTAGTGACAATGTCAACAGCTTGTCGAATATGGTACAAGATGGATTTGATGTATTTATGGACACAAACAGAGAGAACAGCTTCTTTGTGACCAGAAACGGGACTACATGGCGATTTGGACATCACTGCCGTGTCCCACAAAAGGCTGAGGACTAACTTAGGCACAGTAGCAATTGAAAGATTGCTAAAGAGATAATATGAGCTTAATGGAGAACTACTTCCCTGGGCAGAACGCGATAGCCATACTGACATCAGAAGAGAAGGTTTGTACTGGAGACACACAACTTCTACTGCTGTCTTGATCAGATGTATTTGTCAGACTGTCGCCACCTCATTGCCACATCACTGTCGGCTTGTAGCATAGGTAATAGAAGTACTAGACATTTGGCAAGATTGCTTTTGACAAGATTACTGAGGGCATGCTGAGTAAGGGGGTGTTTGTAGAAGTACTCATATCAGAGTAATCGATGTTCATTCGACTGATATGATTCGACTAGTTGGACTAGTGGACTCATGTGAGCCACGACAATCACAATGGATTATATACTTTGGTTGACGAACCTGCTATGGTAACAACAATGTTTCATGACCATGCATGTGGACTTGATAATAATGATGTGCAAGGGTACTGTGCTCTACAGAGTGTGGAGAAGAACAAAGAGGGTTTCACAAACAAACAAGTGAAACGAGCAAATGTTGCACAAAGTGGCTATCATATGATGGGAGCACCTGGTGCAGAACTATTCAAGTTGGCGATTGGGGGAAATTTTTTCAAAAATTGTCCAATTACGGAGGAAGATGTTAATATCTCTGAAAAGATACACCTAGCGTTTCAACAATTAAGGGCAAACAAAAGCGACCAACATCGAAATGCCCAAGGAACTACTGAAACACAATTCAAACCTGGATTTATGTATTGGCATTATGTTTATCAACAATGTCGCGTTTTTTATCAGTATTGACAAAGCGATCAAATTCCGATTCAGTACTGAACTGAAAGATCGGACGAAAGATGCTATTTACAAATCGATTGACAAAATTTTACACATTTATAATCATGCGGAATTTTGAATCAAAACTATTTATTGCGACAACAAATTCAAACCGGTATTTGATGACGTGAAAGATAATATGGATGTGACCATGAATTATGCCGCGCCGGGCAAACACAAACCAACTATTGAGCGCAGCAATCAAACATTGAAAGGATTATTCCAAGCACACTATCATCGAATGGTGTTCAAAGCAATTCCCAAGGTTTTGACTATTGCTTTACTCAAGCATGTGACAAAGGTTATTAACTTTTATCCTGCAAAGGAGGGAATTTTGAAATATTACAGTCCACATATGATTGTGAGACGAAAACCAGTGAATTTTTCAAAAGAATGTGTTGCTGAAATTGGATTCTTTGTACAAGGATATGGTCACACGACCAACAACAGTCAACGATCAAGAACGATTGATGGTATTTATCTTGGAGTAAATGACAGCATACAAGCGGGACATATGTTTCTTGATCTTAATACAAAAAAGACAGTAACAAGACCCTATGTAACGGTACTTCCAATCACCAAGCAAGTGATCAAAATTGTGGAACAAATGGCACTTGACGAGGACGTTTGTGATTTGCTTACTTATCATTGGAAGAATGGTGAAATCATATTGGATGGTGATTTGCTCGCAGGAGTGGACCCAGATGAACTGTGGGATGATACATATATTCCACGCAAAAATGAATACAAACGAAGCGATGAGAATCTTCGTGATGAAAAGATTGATCAAGATGAAATTGATGCTTTACTTGAAGAAGCGGAAGAATTTATTGAAAACTATGACAATGAGCACACCAAAAATGTTGAAGAATAGACAGAAGACAGGAGTGTTGCAAGTATTTATGAACAAATGAGACGGAGAAATGATGATGATAATTCCGACCAAGATCCCAATTCAAATGACAAATATCAGAATGATGAAGATTTAAATGAAAAGATTCAAGAAATTGAAGAAGACATACAAAAAGACAATGAAGATGTCAAATCACTTAACGATGAAGAACAAATCGAGGAAACCCGCAAAACATATGAGGAAAATGACGATTTAATTGATCAAATTCAAGATGAAATCAAAGAATGTGAAAATCAAGTCAATGATATTCACGAATTTGTGGCAAATTTGGATGATAATGAGAATGAAAATGATGAATCTGACGATAATTCGGACGAATCAAGGGACAACGATAATTATGAAAATGATGAAGTGAATAAAGAGGACATATTCAGTCCAAGGAAAACCAGGAGTAGTAAATTCAAGATGGAATAAAAATGAGACCAACTGAATGTAATAGTCGGGATTGACCAAGGTAAAATCAACAATACCTGAATAGAAAGAAACTGAAGAACAGGAGTGCAATGAGAAAAAAGGAAAAAGTCAAGAAATTGCAAGGTTATTTGAATGAAATAATTTCAATGAAGGAAAATTCAAGGAAAAGGATTCCAAAAACTATTCGATTTCATGCGGACGATCTATTATCAAGCCACATTGATCCAAAAGTGAATGATGATTTTTGTGAATGGATGAATCAAAAGCATGGTTCAATCAAACCAGTCAAATCCAAGCAAGGAAAAATTCACGAATATTTGGGAATGACCCTAGATTTCAGTAAAAGGGGGGAAGTCAAAGTCCGAATGGATGACTATGTTAATCGAATGTTGAATGAATTTCCTGTGAAGTTCAGGAAAATGAAGGGTGTAAGACACCAGCAAGTAACGATTTGCTATCAATCGGAAATGAGAAACGTGAAACTTTTCACACATTCATCGCCAAAGGATTATTTCTGAGTAAGAGAGCGAGATTGGATATTGCTCCAACTATTTCAGTACTTTCTACAAGAGTACAGAAACCAAATGAAACTGATTGGAAGAAGCTAGTGAAGCTGATGTATTATCTGAATGGAACAAAGGGAATGCATCTGACGCTGAGTGCAAAAGACTTACGATTTACGAACTTTCAAATGGTATATTGATGCATCATTTGCAGTTCATCCAGATTTCAGAAGTAACACTAGAGGTGTATTGACTATGGGTGAAGGAGGATTGCAAATAATCTCGAAGAAGCAGAAGTTGAACAGTCAAAGTTCAACAGAAGCCAAATTGATTGGTGTTGACGATGCTGCGACACAGATATTGTGGACAAAATTGTTTGTGGAAGCACAAGGTTATCCTGTTGAAGAAAACATCCTATACTAGGATAACAAGAGTTCTTTTCTATTGGAAAAGAATGGACGTGGTAGTGCCGGAAAGCAAAGCCCAGCTTTGAACATTTGAAAAATGTGAATATTGAATATTGTCCAACTGAAAAGATGTGGGGAGATTTCATGAGCAAACCTCTACAGGGACGTTCCGTTGTCATCAACTATGTTAATGAAACGGCAGGAGTGTGTTAGATATATTAGGATTTTTGAAGTACATATTTGGAGAAACAAGAAAAAGAGAATACATGTGAATGATAGAGAAATGATGTCGACTGATACGACTAAAAATGAAGACTGATGCAACTAAAATATTGTGCGTGGCAAGTCAGAAAACAACATATATTTCTATGGAAATCATTCTGTTGATGATTTGATGGAAGAAAGCAAGATTCAAGCAAGAACCAAAGTTGGATACTAAGCAAAGTACCAACTACAGTGGAAGATGAACGGATAAACAGATTGAACTTGCAGCATGTCAGGCTGACGTAGAGAGAATTCTGAGAATTTCCACTGAGCTGGAGAAGAAAGAGTCAAAGTCAAAAGTTGACAGACTGTTCTCACTTTTTATAATATATTGCAAGCAACGAGTGAAGTGGTTGATAAAGTAGGATCTCTGATAGATCTATATACTTCTATATACTGTAAATTCATATACTTAGACGGCAACAATACCTGGACAGCTAAATTGCAGTCGATTAAACAGGTAGATTGTAGGCGGCAGTGGATTGGGTACTTCTAACATGTATTATAAAAAGTGACTGAATTGAATTGAGCCGATATATTCCTACAACTTGAAAGAATAGGAACTTGCTCATGATGAGTGGAAAATTTCAGTGGATCACTTACTTCTAACAGTTGAGCTGTGGTCAATTTGACCACGAGCCAGTCAAGCCGTGGTCAATTTGACCACAAGCCAACCGAGCCATGTCAATCTGACCACAAGCCAGCTGTGCTGCCTGTACAGCTGAGCAAATCAAGCTTTAAGCAGATGGACCGTGCGTCTGACTTTATATATATAAGAGCGTTCATTAATACATACCGGTAGTCAGGAAAAAGAGAAATCTTTATGAGGACGGGCATGCTTTTTTCTTATGTTGTCTTCCACCCTCCGCATACCTGATTTGTCTTATTTTGACTGCTCCTGTGTGGACTTTCAGGTCAAGATGGTCACTTCAGTGATTTTGAAAGATTCTGCCTGCAAGACTCCAATCGCAAAGTGGCAAGTATGTGTGAAATGACTAATCGCACCACAGTTCCCGGCCGTTCCTGAGACTCATTCCAAATGACCACTTTTTGGCATATTTTTGATGTATTTCCATTGGCGTATTGGTCTGTTTTCAACAGTTTCGCTGCGGATTATACATACCGCAGCATTGAACACTAATAAAGTTCCAACCAAATCTCGACAAAGTTCTGCTTGCGTTTATATACATCTCCAGACCTCAATAGTGCTTTGAACCTCAGAGAGTTGCCCAATGCCGATTCAATACCAAACCAATTCCAATGGAGTCCTCCATCATTCCAACTTTATCTACAAGACACATGTTGCACACTCCAATTAGGGCTAATCCCGCTACAACAGCAGCAGAAGCCACACCCCTAGTCTCAAACTGTCCCTCAAAAACTAATGGTCTTCAATTGGTTGATTGCCTCCTCAACGATATTCAATCTGACGTATGGCCTGCAGAAATCAAATTCGAACTCAACAAGGGTGCCACCGGATGATTGCAATCATTTGATGTTTGTCAGCTTATTGGAAAGAGAAACAAAGAAATTGGATATTTGAAAGCTAAGGCCCCTGCATTGTACCACAGGCCAACCAGGTTATACTTTGATACCTCGGCTTTCCCTCCTCCCAAAACTGTTCATGGACAACTACAAGAACACTGCCCCTCATATGGAAAACTCAGGCTGGCCTTTCAAACTGCTGCCCATGAAGCCTGCTCTGCAGTCCACTCGACAGGAGGCAGCGGAAAATCTGCTACAGTGAGAGTCTTGAAATGTAAATGTATGAGCAAGACCTTAAATCCAATGCACCTCCAATGAAGACTCAAGAGTACCGCCAGGATGGTATTGTGAACTCTGATAAGCTAGGCAGGAGAGAAGATGGGAGAAGCGGTCCCAGAAGATGTTCTACTGCTAAACCCTTGAAAGGAGAAGCTACATGCAAGTTTAGCATCACAATTGCATGGGACGAGTTTGGGTTCTATCTAAAGCAGAATGTTGGAAACCCCTACCACACTGGTCACCCAAAGTTTGCCAATCAAGACCTGGCCACTCCTAATGGATTCCTGTCGACAGAAGATCAAGAGGTTATCATTCATGTGCACAATGCATGCGGTGGAGCTGCAATCGGAAGGAATTACATCCTAACAAAGTTTGGAAAGTTTGTACCTTCAGTGGCAATCCGAAGCCTGCAGAATGAGGCCACACTCCCTCAACCTGAAGAGGGTGATAACAGGAAATTGCCTGCAAATGACATTGAAGGGCTCCTTCGGTACTTTGAGACTGAAGAGGACATCTCTTTCCAAGTACTCTGGGATGTTCCTGCTGGCAGCACCAACAAAACTAGCAATGAAACACAGCCACTTGTTGATGGCTCGGAGGATGATGGCTCTGGCGGTCATATGCTGCTGTCCACCACGTGAGTTCTATTGTTTCTATTTGTTTCTATTTCCCCTTGGTCCGGTCCAGCCTCAGCTTCACCCTGGCCTTAGATTTGACAAGGACGCTGCAGGAAACGTCACTGAACGCGAGACCGATCACTCTACAGAGCCTGCAATGGACGAGCTCGGGCGTGAGGTGTCTGCTGCTAGAGAAGATGAGAGTATCTTTTGCCAGGACAAAATTTTCCTTTGTATTGCATGGACAAACAAGGAGGAGCTGCGACTATTTCAGAAGTTCCCTTCTCTAGTTTACTGTGACGCAACCTCAGACACAAACAAGAACAAGAATCACCTTATCACCTTCTCTGGCCGAACCACCAATGGCAAACAATTCATTTTCCTCCGAGTGTGGGTACATAACCAGAAAAGGGTTACTTTCAAGTGGATCTTTCAAGCAGTCCTAAAATCCTTTCTCCCAAGCGGTACCCATGAAATGGTTCAACTGGTACTTGTTGACGGCGATCCGCAACAGATGAGTGAGGTCAGACTAGCACTTCAACAATACCTTACTTCTGCAATGTTTACCAATTGTGGATTCCATCTTGTTACCATTGGTTTCAAGAGAGCCGGTATTCCAAAGCCAGACCGAGATGCTATGAAGACACAGTATGATGCCCTTGTCTCAGTGTTGCTCCATTGGATGTACTCCTTCATGAGACCAGGCTATTGTGAGAATGGTGACAAATACTTGATCTCGAAGACACTTCTTTTCCATTGGCTGAAGTCAAAAGATGTTGCAACTGTGCTAGGAGTTGAGGGGCCGGCAAATGCGCCGACTGGGTAAGAAAAGTGTTGACTCACGAGAATTCATTTCTCTACCATCAGAGGATGCACTTGCGGACCTACTTTCAAATAACAATTAGTCCTCATGAAGGTACCAATTTTGGGATCAAAAGTCATGCGGCGAGGGTGATGCCAAGTCACACAATGGTAAAGGCTGGCAAGTCCCTCATCTTCCAATCCAAATTGAAGGTAAAAGAGATAAGGCACGAGGCAACAAGATCAATGCTCAACACACCACTCTGGTCCGGAAGTGCAACAAGCAAGCATGTTGTGAAGATTGCTGAGTCCATTCTCCTACAGATTGCAGAAAGAGTCAGTCTGTATCAAGCAAGACGAGTCGCCCAGGGAGAGTGGCAAGTAACTCACGCACCTCATGGTTCCCAACTTCCACCAGGGACCAATGGCACCAAAAAAGTTCCAAAATTTACTAGGATCCGCACAGTGAAGCTGGTGAATTGTCATTTGGAATGCTCCTGCTGTCATTATGAATCTGTTGGACTCCCGTGTGTCCATCAAGGTGCTGTCATCGCATCACATTCCAAATCAGAGCCGTGGACTGGATTTGGTCATCACGACGTTGATCTGGCTTGGTGGACTCACCTCCGTATGGTAAATGGCCATGACAGCCGTTAACGGCAATCTAGAAACTTGAGATTGTTTTAATACGATTAATGCATCAGTTATATATATATGGCTTGGTGGAAGATATGGCACAAGTTCGCCTATGAAGAGGAAATTGAAGAAGAAAGCATGAACGAGTTGATAAGGTCTCTCCCTTCAGCAAAGCGAGAATGCAAGGGCGCATTGTTCCCCAGTGGGCCTCCTCCAGGTGTCACTCAATATGCTGCTCGCTTACCAGAGTTGTCTGCCAGAAGGAGAATTGTCAACTATAGTACAGAGTTTGTCAACTCGTTGATGGGTAGGGAGACCTATGAAGGGCTGAGTCAGCAATCCAACCTAAGTCATGACAATGATCACTCCAATGATCACTGTGAGAATGATGTTGATGATGGTTTTAACTGATGATGAGGATGGTAGTGACAAATGTGATTTCAATGCGGTGTTGGAGGCGGAGACTAATGCTGATTTGGATGTTGGTGATGGGGGTGACGATGTTCCTTTTGGTGAATTAATGGACGATGACAAAAATGTTTGGCCACACATTTCATTTCATGAGGTGTGCAAGCATGATCATTACAAGGCCTGTGCCCTCTTAGAGGAGGTCAAAGCGCTTGATCAAAATGCTGTAGCTGGATTTCTTCAACTCAAGCAACGGCTTCATGAGCAATTAAGAGACACCATCAGGGCACATCTTATGAAGAAATCCCAATCAAAAACAGGAGTTGATAGACAAGGGACTACCTTGTCTCGGATTCACAATATCATGCCAACAACCAAGAGGTCTTGTTCTCGAAGAAGCTACCACGCCAAGAATGCCTATCAGGGCCCGACAACCAAAAGGTCCAAGAAGAACTAATATAGCTACTTGCTTTCCAACTATTAAAGCCTGCTTTCTGACTATTATCACTATTGTATACTTCTTTTGACCACAGTATCTACTTCTTTCGACCACAGTAGCTAGGATGACTAAGAATCTGCTCAATGCAACCTAGTTCCGTTGCTCGCAATTTTCCTAAGTGCCTGGGCCAGTAAATTTCTAGTATATCGGAGTGCTTTCTTGACAAAAGAAAGGGCTTTAAAGTGGTTGATTTTGTTCTTGTGGCGGTCGAGGAAGAAACCACCCAACTCCTTCCACTTGTCTGTGCAATCGTTTATGACAAGTTTGAAAGCACTGCCCTTTCCACTTCCAAAGCCGAAGAGCGCAGACAGATATTCATTGTACTGATCTAGATGCTTTTCCCACCAAGGATTTTTGCACCAAGGATAGACTTGAAGATCCATTACCGGCACTGGTGTTTGGACGTGGACTTGAGTTGGGAATTCTTGAAATTCTTGCCGCCAATTGAAAATTCTTGCAATTCTTGCCGCCGATTGAAATTCGTGCTTGTAAAGAAGAAGGGGACCCGGAAGTAGATGTGGCATCCAAACCAGTTTTGATTGGTCGCTGCATCATCTAGAGGCCCAACTTTCCAATCTTTTTTGAAATAAGCACGGCTGGCTCCAGATTTGTCGAGATTTGGTTGGAACTTTATTAGTGTTCAATGCTGCGGTATGTATTATCCGGAGGTCAAATTTTTCCAAACCAACCGAATGAACCCTGTTTTTTTTACGTATTGTTAGAATAAAGCAAATTGTGCTCTATCGTGAGTGCCTTAAGCGCTCAGAACAAACTCTCTGTAACCTAAATTTGTAATCGACTGTACAACACTTTCACCACAATAGTTCTCCTGTGTCTAGGTATACTTTGAGTGAAATTGTTCCTATTTGATTAATATTTGGCTTGAATTGATGATTCAATCACAAAAGTAAGTTCAACAATTTTCCCTTGGAAAATCCCTTGTTTACAGAACCTGATTCAACCTCTACGACAATTATGTGTTGAATGCAGTACTTTGGGACATCTTGTATTATTCCCTACTGCATTGTACGCAACACCGATATCACACTTCACGATCAAAGTCCGATTGTACTTGTCGAAAACTTTGTACTTGAATAGTTTCTTTTTGGAACGTAAAAACTCATACTTTGTCATATCTCAACACACTCCTGCCATTGTGACAATCACCATTGGCAGCAATGGGACATGCTCTCATTCACTGTTTATTTTGTTTTGTATTTTCATTTGAACATATACATACTTGTCTGACCTAGTCCTGTGGACCAAGAATCAGATCCCTGAACTTGCGAAACTTCTCACCTTGCAATGGCTTAGTCATGAAATCCGCAATCATATCGTCAGTTGAACAGTTTTTGATCTTAACACTTCCTTTCTCAACTTGATCTGTGATAAAGAAATAACGAATATTGATAGCTTGGCTTCTTTTGCCCACGCTCTTGCGATCATTCTCTTCCAGTAGAATCGCGCTTTTATTATCAGTATCCTGATACAAGCTATTCTTCTCGATCGGATACCCTTGCCACTCCATGAACAACTTTGTCCATAGTATTATCGTGACAACATCGTCAACAGCAATCAGTTCCGCTTCCGTACTGCTTCTGCTTGTTGGATAGATTAGGATTTTTGAAGAACATATTTGGAGAAACGAGAAAAAGAGAATACATGTGAACGATAGAGAAATGATGTTGACTGGTACAACTAAAAATGAAGACTGATACGACTAAAAATATCACGTGTGGGGAGTCAGAAAAGATTATTTATTTCTTTGGAAATCATCCTTTTGATGATGTAAGAACGCAAGATTCAAGCAAGAACCAAAGTTGGATACTAATCAAAACATCGACTACAGTGGAAGATGAACTGTTAGAATGAAGCAAAATGTGCTCTATGGTGAGTGCCTTTAGCGCTCAGAACAAACTCTCTGCAATCTAAATTTGTAGTCGATTGTACAACACTTTCACAAAAATAGTTCTCCTGTGTCTAGGTATACTTTAAGTGAAATTGTTCCTATTTGATTAATATTTGGCTTGAATTGATGATTCAATCACCAAGGTAAGTTCAACGGTTTTCCTTTGGAAAATCCCTTGTTTACAGATTCAACCTCTACGACAATTCTGTGTTGAATGCAGTACTTTGGGACATCTTGTATTATTCCCTACTGCATTGTACACAACATGGATATCTCACTTGTATAGGGTCATTCCCTTTTTGTGTGGATGTAGATTGTCCGACAGACTTGCGTCCGGCATACTTGCGTCCAATCCTGACATCACGATCAAAGTCCGATCGTACGTGTCAAAAACTTTGTACTTGAATAGTTTCTTTTTGGAACGTAAAAACTCATATTTCATCATATCCCAACACACTCCTGCCATTGTGACAATCACCATTGGCAACAATGGGACATGCTCTCATTCACTGTATATTTTGTTTTGTATTTTCATTTTGAACATATACATACTTGTCTGACCTAGTCCTGTGGACCAAGAATCAGATCCCTGAACTTGCAAAACTTCTCACCTTGCAATGGCTGAGTCATGAAATCCGCAATCATATCGTCAGTTGGACAGTATTTGGGCTTAACATTTCCTTTCTCAACTTGATCTGTGATAAAGAAATAACGAATATTGATAGCTTGGCTTCTTTTGCCCGCGCTCTTGCGATCATTCTCTTCCAGTAGAATCGCGCTTTTATTATCCTGATACAAGATATTCTTCTCGATCGGATAGCCTTGCCACTCCATGAACAACTTTGTCCATAGTATCATCGTGACAACATCGTCAACAGCAATCAGTTCCGCTTCCGTACTGCTTCTGCTGTTTAGCTTTTGCTTCTTTTACATCACTTGAGCTGCACCTCCTCCAAAGGACAGATTGCCGCCATTATGGCTCTTGATATCTGGATGCACCGCAAATGATGCGTCAATCATCCATTTCATGACTCGTAGTGATCCTGCGGAAAGTGTCAGGTGATACAACAATGTACAAAACATATATTGCATCATGCAAACACACTTCTTCCAATCAGACTCTGTAGGTTCTGGAACTCTTGAGGCAAGAATAGTAATCGTTGGATGGATATCCAAACAAGCTCTCTTAGAGACATAAAGTTCCCTTGCAACAGTAGTATGGAAGATATGACGGTACTCAGCACTGAGTAGCTTCCCTTTACTAGCTTCCAGTAAATTGTTACCAGCTGGTGTTTCCTGCTTTGAATCCTTGTTGAACTTGATAGGAAAATCTTCCAACATGTTCTTGACATAATCGTCCATGCGGATCTTGAGTTTTCCTTTCACCAAGAAGTCCAAAGTCATTCCAAGATATCTGTGTATCTTTCCTCTGACGATTGTACAAGCCTGGATCAAACCATATCTCATGTTCAACCACTTAGCAAAATCGTCATTTACTTTCGGATCCATGTGACTTGACATAAGATCGTCAACATGAAATCTGATAGTTTGCTGTTTTTCATTAACAACTTTATTAGCAACACACGGGTCATAGGGGTTGAAAACAAACCCCTTTGCCTCCAGATCACTTCGAAATTGATTGCAACATACCATAAATAGCACGTAGTACCGCACATAGATTACTCCCTTTCTGTTCTCTAATACAATGTATTCGCGATACTCTGGGGCCATGTCAATCAATATCTGGACCATCATGCCAGTGATTTTCATGTAGACGCGATCTTCTCCTTCCTTAGCTTCAGGCATATAAGTTTGAATGAAAGCGTTAGGCACGTCCAGCGTCATTACATCTCTACCTTCGTGTGTATCAATAACACAAGTAGTGGTGATTGCTTCTTGTGAAGCAGTTGGACTTGCAGTGTCCTCTCGCAATAACCATTCACGAGTTCCATCGCCTCGGAATACTAGGCAACCTTTAATTGTCTTTTTGAATTGCTTCTCCGCGAGTAACATCATCGCTGATTGGGCCTTCTTTCGCTCAGAAGCGGTCATGTCTTTAACAAATTCGGGAGTGAAACAATCTCTCAGGAGCATTTGTCTCAATTCCTCATCCACAGCATCCTTTCCATCATCACCAAACTTCTTCAGTCCTTGATTGATGTAATACTGTTGAATGAAGTTCAGACCTTCATCAGTATCAAACATGGCCTTGATCTGCATCATGCAACGAGCGATCAGAATAGCGTCGTGCTCTTCATAATCAGCTTTCATCTCATTCCCAATCTGTTGGAAGCATAGATTGTGCTTTGCTTCAAGGATAGCTTTACTGTCTTTAGTACTGCGACTTCCTTCTTTGATACAAATACCAGATTTTAACTTGTTCTTCAACGGTTTCAATTCTCTTTCTCGATGCTTGCGTCTTGTTGCAACTCAATTTTTGTTCTTATTGGCAGAACTGCCACTCCTGCTTGAAGGCCATTCTCTTGGTTTCTTTGGATCTTGGGAAAGGTTCAGCCTAGACATTGCAGCTTGCGCATACGTTTGCCCAGATCAAGTGACTTTTGCTACTTGAGGCTCTTCAGGCTCAAATACAATCTCTTCTTCTGGCGGCTCTTGTAGGTCCTCCAGATCAGTAACAAGGCTTCCAATATCATCAGTTCCTCTATCAACATTTTCTTGATGGTCGGCCACAATAGGTTCTTCCTTGTCATCGCCTTCATCACCCGAATCGTCGTCTGATTCATAGTCATCATCTCCTTGGAATCTGACAGTGAGTTCCGGCATATCATCGACATCATTGTCTGCATCTGCCAAGAGCTCTTCTCTTTCGGAGTCATCG